GAAAGATAGAGTTCATAACTAGACCTACACCAAATTGTCAGTTTTTCTAAGCAGTGTGAAGTAAATGTAGTAGAGAAAGATAATTTTTTCAATAAATGGTGTTGGAAACTTTTGGACAACTTACATGTAAAAAAAATGTTGATCTGACACCTGCACAAAAATTTGCTCAAAATAATTATAGGCTTAAATGTAAAGCATCAAACTATACAATGCCAAGAAATCATACGAGAAAATCTTTGTGTCTTGGATAAGACTGAGTTCTTAGATACCAAAGTTATGACCCATAAGAGAAAACATTAATACATTTAACTTTATCAAAATAAATTTTTGCTCTGTGGAAGACTCTGTTAAGAGAGTAGAAGAAAACCACAAATTGGGAGAACATATTTCCAAATCATTTAGTTAACAGAGGATTTGTATCCAGGATGTATGAAGAATTCTTACAAATTGATAATAAGAAAACCTATCCAATTAAAACAAATGAGTAAAAGATGAACAAGCTCTTCACCAAAGAATATATGTGGATGGTATATAATCACACTAAATGTTGCTCAACCTCATTAATCATAAAGGAAATGCAAATTAAAAATAAAATGAAATATAACTACACAGCTTTTATCATAGTTCAGATAAAGGAAAAACTGATAGTAATGGATGCTAAAGAGGATATAGAATAACTGGTCAATATAGAACAGTTCTCACAGTGCTTGTCAGAATATAAAATGGTCCAGTCACTTTGGAAAACAATTCATCAGTTTTTTTTTTTTTTTTTAACAAGTTCAACATAAAAATTACTGGATAGCCCAGCAGTTGCACTAAATAGGTATATACGTGAGAAAACAAAAATTTATGTTTACGCAAAGTCTTATACATAATTGTTTTTAGCAGCTTTATTCGTAACCACCCAAAAATGGAAACGATCAAGATGTCCTTCCACCAGTGAACGGATAAACTATGATGGAACCGTACAGTGGACCCTCAGCCCTGAAAAGGAATGAACTATTAATATACTGATATACACAAAAACATAGATGAATCACAAATATATTTTGCTAAGTGAAAGAAGGCAAATGTGAAAGACTACGTGCTGTGATTCCATTTATGCGATATTTTAGAAATGACCAAAAAATAAATTTTCAGAATAAAATTAGTGGCAGTAGGTTTCCTAGTGGCAGAAGTTTCCCTTGGTTTGCTTACTGCTCATCATTTCTCTATTCCCATTATGCAGTGGTGTGTTTGTGTGTGTGTGTGGTAATTTTAGTAGTAAGTATTTTACATTAAAATATTATTAGCCATCGAGATGAATGTGAACAGCCTGTAGCATAATTCTTTTCACTTGAAATGATGGTCAGTTGGAAGCCAAATGGACTTTAGGATTTAGTGTAATCTGGAACTTTAGCCCTATAACTAGGTTATATTTTGTCTTCACTGGTTAATGTTACTGCAAATTGTTTCTCCATCACTGAATTGCAAATAGGAGTAGTAAGAAAAAAAAATTAAATATCTATTTATTTATTTTGGAGAGAGCAGGAGCAGGGAAGGGCAGAGGGAGAGAGAGAGAATTTCAAGTGACTACCCTCTGAGCATAGAGCCCAGAGGTGGAGCCCATCTCACTCCCAAGATCATGACCTGAACAGAAACCAAGAGTCTGACACTTAACTGATTGAGTCAGCCAGGCACCCTACGAGTAGTAAGAAAATTAACAGATGTCTAGCATGCTATTATTAAACAATAATTTCTTTCAAGTAGAAAACTCTCAAATTAGAGCAGTTTAAACTATTAATTGAGGTTTAAGTTTAAACAGTATGTTAGATCCGTGAAGACAGACATGCTTTGATCACTGTTTATTTATTAATGCCTAGAGCAATGATTGGGACATAGTACATCTGATAATATTTGTTGGATAATTTGTTGGATAAGTGAATCTGCAAAGAGAACACATCGTAACTAAATATAATAAAACATTTTTCTAAGATTTTTTTTAGCAAAGTCTAGAATATATATATCTTGAACATGTTTGGGATTTTAGTATTATTATATTACCGATATGGTCGTTGAACTCTTAGTCACATTTGGGGAGGGGAAAAATGAAGAACAAATAATCCTCTTTGAAGTGAAGATCTCATTCCATGCCTAATATCGAAGATACCTAGTAAGTCTTCACTGTTGACAGATTTATAAACCTGAATTTTTAAAAAAATTTATTTTTATTTTTAAATTTCTTTTAATTTAATTTTATTTTTTCAGTGTTCCAAGATTCATTGTTTGTGCCCCACACCCAGTGCTCCATGAAATACGTGCCCTCCTTAATACACACCACCAGGCTCACCTAAACCCTCCAACCCCCCACCCTTCCAAAACCCTCAGTTTGTCAGAGTCCATAGTTTCTCATGGTTCGTCTCCCCCTCCGATTTCCCCCAATTCAGTTTTCTTTTTCTTCTCCTAATGTCCTCCATGTTATTCTTTATGCTCCACAAGTGAAACCATATGATAATTGACTCTCTCTGCTTGACTTATTTCACTCAGCATAGTCTCCTCCAATTCTGTCCATGTTGATATAAAAGTTGGGTATCCATCCTTACTGTTGGAGGCATAATATCCCATTGTATATATGGACCACATCTTCTTTAAGCATCCATTGAAGGGGATCTTGGCTCTTCCCACAGTTTGGCGACTATGGCCATTGCTTCTATGACCATTGGGGTACATATGACCCTTCTTTTCACTACATCTGTATCTTTGGGGTAAATACCCAGTAGTGCAATTGCAGGGTCATAAGGTAGCTCTGTTTTTAGTTTTTTGAGGAATCTCCACACTGTTTTCCAAAGTGGCTCCACCAACTTGCATTCCCACCAACAGTGTAATAGGGTTCCCCTTTCTCCACATCCTCTCCAACACATGTTGTTTACTGTCTTGTTAATTTTGGCCATTCTGACTGGTATAAGGTGGTATCTCATTGTGGTTTTGATTTGAATCTCCTTGATGACTAATGATGATGAACATTTTTCATGTGTCTGTTAGGCATTTGTATGTCTTCTTTGGAGAAGTGTCTATTCATGGGAGAGGATATTCGCAAATGACACTACAGAGGAAGGTCTGATAGCCACGATCTATAAAGAGCTCCTCAAACTCAACACTCAAAAAACAGATAATCACGTTAAACCTGACTTTCTATTACTTACTAATTTTTTAATGATTTTTTTTGTTTTTATATCTTTAACTTATCCATAATAAGAGCTCTTTGGTTATTTCTCCTCAATATATATAAATTTATCTATTCTGAAGAATTATTTATTAAGACAAATTGAAATTTTTGTGCCATCTATTGATACAGCCTGTTGGCTATTAGTGTGCAATTTAAGAAATACTGCTATCACAATGTGACTTCCTTAGAGGCCTTCTTTAGTCATAAAGTGAGAATATTTTATATTATAGCCCTTTTGTCTAAATTTACGTATACTTAAAATTGCAAAATTGATCCCTTGATATACCTGATATATTCTAATTGTCTTGTATGGGAGCCACAGATTCTGAATTGCAGATACCATCGTAGCAAATGCTATTTAACTTATGCAAAATTTATACAATGATGGCAAACAAAAACTTCTGGGAGAATAATTGTTTTACCACAAAGCAGTTTATACATCTCAGACTCAATTCCTAAAGTGTAAATCAGCCTTGATTTAGCATTAGTTCATTTGATGCACACAAGTAATAGGAAGAAAATGTTCTTAGTGGCCCATGGCTGGCATATGGGTGTGAATGTGTGTCTGTGTGTATAAATTCACACAACTTTTTTCACACACTTTCTTCCTTTAACTAAAACGACTTTTTTCACTTTTTTTACACCATCATGTGTTGTTGCTTTGACCTCTGTGGACAAGGAAAGCTGCCCTCTGTTCCAGTGAGGGGCTGAAAGGAATACTGCAGGGATCTAGAAGTCTGAGGATGGTTCACAAACTTGGCTGGACAGGGAAACACTTGTGGAGTTTTTTTTTAAAAGTACTGAGCCCTTGGATCTAGCCTCAGGGCTTCTGATTTAAAATGTATTGTGGGTATTAAAATGGATATTAGGATTAAAGGAACCAAAACAAACAAACAAACAAACAAACAAAACCCTGACCCCCTGGAGTACCCTGATGGGCAGGGAAGTTTGAAAACCACTGCTCTAGAAACCATAGTTTCTATGCCTGCCTAAGAAACAGGGATACTTGTGTACTTAGAAACAGAAGCAACCATTGTATTTAAAAAATGTATATAAGTTATTTTCTTGAGGAATTTAAGGTGATTTGATGTACCCATCAATCTTCAAGAAGGGCTATGAATAGGGGCACCTGGGTGGCTCAGTGGGTTAAGCGTTTGCCTTCAGCTCAGGTCATGATCCCAGGGTCCTGGGATCTACTCCTGAGACGTACTCCCTGCTCATTGGGGAGTCTGCTTCTACCTCTCCCTTTGCCATTCCTCCTGCTTGTGCTCTCTCTCTTTCTGTAAAATAAAATAAAATAAAATAAAAATAAAATCTTAAAAAATAAGGAGTATGAATTAAGGTGTAACTTGTTCTTTTTGTGGAGTGTACAGAATGGAAAATGAGTCAGGAAACATGTCTTTCAGTGGTGATTCTGCTACTTCCTAAATATATTGCATTAGCTGGGCTTCTTATGAAATTTAGTTCCTTATGTATAAAGTACAGATAGCAATGTAGTCCTTATGGGATTTGGAAAATTAAGCGGTATGTGCGAAGGTAATTCTTAAAGTTTTAAGCACTGTACAGATTTCAGGTGTAATTATTCACTGCTATCCATAGCCTATTTCTGGCCTTTCATGTGCATAGAGTATGATTTTTTTTTTAAAGATTTTATTTATTTATTTGACAGAGAGAGATCATAAGTAGACAGAGAGGCAGGCAGAGAGAGAGGAAGGGAAGCAGGCTCCCTGCTGAGCAGAGAGCCCGATGCGGGACTCGATCCCAGGATCCTGAGATCATGACCTGAGCCGAAGGCAGAGGCTTAACCCACTGAGCCACCCAGGCGTCCCTAGAGTATGATTTTTGAGATCATTTTACTGAATAACATATTTACTGTTAACCCATTCATGTTTTCGTTCATTAGAAAATCATTCATTCAAGTGTCGGTTAAGTGTTTTTCAGACACTTGTAAGTAGATACCTAGTTCTTATCTCAGTTGAATCACCATCCAATGCAGAAGAAAGACATGTGCGCATACACACACACATTTGTATTTTGGATGGCAGGGGTGAGAATCCAGAATATGCACAACTAAAATATGAACACGACAGATCAAGGAGGTCATTTTGGAGTCCTTTAAAGCCTAAACCCAAAAATTTCAACTTTAAGGTACCTTTCTAATGCCTCTTGGGCATTGGCATTGTGGTGCATGGAATGAGATACACTGTGATTAAGAAATGTTTTTATTGGGAGGTTATAAACTAATGGATAAATCATACTGTCTTCACTCAAATCTTTGCTCCACCACAAGTTAGCTGCACAGTCTTGGGCAGATTGTCGACTTCTGTGTTTTACTATCACCTGTAAAGTAAGCTAATAATGATACCTGCTTCTTGGAGCTGTTATGAGCTTTAAAGCAGTTATACCTTTAAATTTCTTTGAATGATGCCTGACACAGAGGGAATGGTAATAATTTACAAGTCATCGTAAGATTTCTTTGATGATCACTTACTGAAGAAGAATATTCTTTCTGACATTTTATGCATCAAAATGGTTAATTGGAAATCCTTTACTCTTATGGTAGGTGCTCGTCATTACTCCACCGGAGAAAAAAATTATTTCATCCATAAGTTTTAGGAGAAAGCAAAATACATTTATTTTAATTCAGTGTATCAATATTTTCTTCTTCTGCTTTCAGTCTCAAATCTAAAAATTGTTATTCATAAGACATTCTCATCCTCTGGGTAATACCATGTGGCAGTTTTAAAGAGAACATCTGTATACATAGAAAGTGCTGCTATAAAGCTTCATCAGTAGAAAAGATAGCAAACATGTAAGAAGCTTGGGACTGCAGCTAAGGCATGGGATTGTGTTCATTTGGTTTGACTGTTTATCATGAGTAGGACATGATTACAAGCTAAATTACACATTTCAGATGGATTGGTATTATAAATCCAGTGGTTATCTTGTTCTTTGATAAAAATCTTTATTTTATAGATTTCAGAGCCTGTGAAGTGGTTTATAAAATGTGGCTTCTTCCATGACTGAATGTATTTTATTGTAGAAATTACTCACACTAGTTTAAATGGGGAAACTTCTGGACATTTTTTAGACTGTGGTATTTTGCTTGTTTTTTGCAATAAGTACATTATTACTTTTTAGCATTCAGCTCTTGTTCTGAAGCCTGAATAATATGTATATTTGTAAATATATGAATATTATATTTATATTTGCATATTTATAAATATCTAAAATATATAAATTATGTATGTTATACATAAATTTTAAAGAGAGAGTCTTTTGATAGGAAATGCAGAATTTTCATTGCCCTCTAATTGTATTTTTTATCTTTAGAAAATGTGCTATGTTTTCTTTCTGGGCAAATACTATGACAGAATTGATCAAAACCAATGTAAACACCGTATTAAATTTACACACAAAAGAGGTCCATGAATTAATTTATATAAATCATTAAGATGACCATAAAATATATTGACAAATGAAAAATTCAGAATTCCTTCAGCCTGGCTTACCTTATTGAGAGTATATTTTTTAAGCAGACATACGAATTTATACAGAAATATAGAATTTTTCTCTTAGGATATAAAATGTGATTTGTATTTAGTTACTGTTGATATAGGAAACTGCTAATGTCCTTTAAAATAATCATGATATTGGAGATGAGGTTTACAATGCATATCTAATTCAAATACAGATTTTACTGCATTTTTCTTTTTGTTTCTGTATAATCTTTAAAACCAGCCAAAAGGTTGGCTAAGGTATGATGTTTTCAGCATCCCAAGGCTTTTATATTAAGTAACCGTGATTTGAGTCAGCCAAAAATCAGCTGCTAGTTTTTCCCCTTGATTTCTAAGAAACAAAGAGAAAAAGAAAGAAAATTGGAGAGATGAAACTATTTTGCCAGTTTAACAAGTTTAATTCTTTGAGTTAAATAGCATATTGATGAATTTTTCCCTTGGATTGTAAGCTTCTGTAAGACTCTAGGGAAAAGACCTGTGTATTTTCTTCTGTTCTGTACCTTGAACAGTCCGTAAAATATCTGGATGCTGCCTCCTCTGTGTTTTCATCAAGTTTCATGCCTTATAGTGTGGTTTAGAGTGAGTTTTTCTCATATCTGTATTTCTGACTAGTTTGTAAACCTCCTGACAATAAACAGTATGATTAATAACATTTGTTTCTTCCCATGGCATTGTATAAACCAGGTGTTTGGTAAATTTATTTTGTATTTTCATCCCTAATAATTAAAACTGGGATGTTTTATAATTGATTTATAAAAATCATAATACATGCTCTTCTTTCTACACAGTGACTGTAACTTACCCACTCTAAATATATCCACTCTGTGACTTGATGCAGCAAACTTACTGGCTGTATATCATAGCTCTTTAAATGAGAACAAGATCAGGATTTTGATGGGTGGGAAGAGCATTGGAGGAACTCAAGTTGAACTTGGCTTCTTTCAATGTCCATTATCATTTCACTTCTTTGGATCTGTTACCTTGCACATAAACTGTAAATGATGATGTTTGCCTTATTAATCACAGTTTTGTTTTTTTCCCAGCCACCTTAGAAGTATGTACTGAGGATCTGTTATGTGCTGCTCATGATTCTAAGTACTGAGAATTTAATCCCTGCTTTCAAAGAAAGATCTTATGACCAGTGGAATAGACAAACTAGCAAACTCTTACTACAGGGTAGTATGTTATGATAGTATCATTTGAGTGTTATTTCTTGGTCCTTAAATGTCACCTCCTCAGAAAGGCGATCCCTGAGCGCCCAGTCTAAAGCAGTCTCCCAGGCAATATCATAATCATTTTTAAAGTGCACAATACTCTATAAATCTTCCTAATTATCTATCTATATCTGTTTATTTGTCTATCAGTCTCTCAATAGATCATTCTACCAATCTGTCAATATCAAACCTATCAATAGAGATAGCTTTATCATGATTTGTTTTCTATTCTCCTCAAATGTAATGTTAGACCCATAGCAGCAGATACGATTTTATTTACTTTCTTTTGTTCCAATTTTATTAAGAAATAATTGACATATATCATGGTTTGAATTACATACATTGTGAAATGATTACCACAGTTGATTCAGCTAACATCTGTTTTCTCATGTAAATAGAATAAAAAGAACAGAAAAAAAAAAATTCTCCTTGTGATGACTACTCTTCGGATTTACTCTCTTAATAATTTTCTTATATATTATACAGCACTGTTAGTTATAGTTACAGAGTTGTACATTATACTCCTTATACTTATTTATCTTATAATGGCAAGTTTGTATCTTTTGACCACCTTCCTCCATTTCCCTCTCTGGCTACTCTCCTCTGCCTCTGCATCTAACAACAAGTCTCATCTCTTTTCCTATGAAGTTTTGTTTCATTTGTTTTGTTTTTTTAGATTTACATTTAACTTAGAAAACATACAACATTTGTCTTTCTCTGATTGACTTATTTCACTTAGCATAATGCCTTCTGGTTTTATCCATGTTGTCACAAATGGCAGGACACACTTGTTTTCTTTTTATAACTGAATGTAAATTTTGTTTAGTAATGATTTTGTTTCTTGTGCTTTAGATGTTATATCCAGAAATCCTTACCAAGACACATGCCAAGGAGCTCTATTCCTATGTTTTCTTCTAGGAATTTTATAATTTCAGGTTTTACAGTTAAATCTTTAATCCATTTGGAGTTAACTTTTGTGAATGATGTACAGTATGGGCCCAGTTTTATTTTTTCATATGTGAATATCCCGTTTATCCGAGCACCGTTTACTGAAGAGACTGTCTTTTCTCTGTTGGGTATCCTTGGCACGCTTGTTATATATTTGTTGCTTGGGATCTTGATTATGTTCTGTTGGCCTTTTTGTCCTTTTTTTAAGCCAGTACCATACCATTTTGATGATGATAGCTTTATAATATAGCTTGAAATCAGGAAGTATAATACCTCTTACTTTGTTATTCTTTTTCAGAATTCCTTTGGCTACTTGACTCTTGTAGCTCTACATAAAGTTTAGTTTTTTTCCTACTTTTATAAAAACTACTATTAGGGGGCACCTGGGTGGCTCAGTGGGTTAAGCCTCTGCCTTCGTCTCAGGTCATGATCTCAGGGTCCCGGAATCTAGCCCCACGTCAGGTTCTCTGCTCAGCAGGGAGCCTGCTTCCCCCTCTCTCTCTGCCTGCCTCTCTGCCTACTTGTGATCTCTCTCTCCGTCAAATAAATAAATAAAATCTAAAAAAAAAAAAACCCATTAATGGAATCTTGATAGGAATTCTGAGTTCTGTGGTCAGGCTCACTAAATGCCTGGGACTAGCCCGCTACTATATTTCAGCTATGGATTAGTATGGATTAATGTTCCTGCACTAGGAAGTCAGCAGGCTAGAGCCCACAGTCTGTGTTTATTGTTTCCAGGCTTGAATCAGGCTGAGTGTACACTGAATTCCTTGGTCGGTTGAGACCCTCAGTTTGCTCTGCACATGAGGGAAGCCAGAGGCTGTGCTCTCTGTTCAAGTGCCACAGTCACTAGGGCTGATGAATGTGCTTCCCAGTTTGCTGTGTGCTCTGGTTAGGATCTCTGGTTAGAATTGAGGCTTGCAGAAGGGAAGTGGTGGGGGGATGGGGTAACTGGGCGATGAGCATTAAGGAGGGCACTTGTGATGAACACTTGGTGTTATATGCAACTAATCATTGAACCCTACATAAAAAAATGAATGATGTACTGTACGTTGGCTAATTGAACTTAGTTTTTTTAAAAAAAAGAAAATGAATGAAGGCTATGTTCAGCAATAGTGGGACGACAAATTAGATTGTCTGCCTGGTTGCAGTGGGGGAAGCAGCTCTAAAGCCAATGAAGCTTTGTTGTCTTAACAGGACCACTGGCTTTGTCCTGCAAACTGTTGGCTCTGCCTGTCCTTGTCTCTGCTAAAGTGCTAATGGGCAACTCTGCTTTGGTGTTTTCACCGTTCCTTCTGGTCAGATGGGGCTGGAAGCCACATTGTAATTTACCTGGAAGCCGGATTGTAACTTATGTCCCAGCCCCATTGCTTCTGTGGGAAAGGGAGGGGCTGCTGCATGCTACTCTCAGTTTCCCAAATGGGCTCTCTGTTTGGGAGGGCCTGGCAGCTACTCTCAGCCTTAGGATGAATTAATCTGCCTGACTGTGCATGTCATGACAAGCCCTCATGCTGGGTATTAGTTTTGCTGTGCAGGTGATCAGCTCTGGCTGTCCACCTCTCAGCTTGAACGCCACTCGGTAGCATAGCTTCCAGAAGTTGTTGCCAACCTTTTGGTTCACATAGATGAGAAGACTCTCTCCACTCTCTAAGGGGCTGTGATTTAGCACCTTGCCTGGGCCCTGGCAAACTGGGCTTTAAGTCAGGCAAAACTCATCATGTGAGGATCCTCGAGATCTGCATCCCTCCAAATCCCCAGCTCAGAGTGCATCTCATCCTGGTACCTCAGGTGAGCAAATCTGCTGGTTGGGCATTGCAGGTATGAACTTGGTTTGCCAAGGTCCATGTGCTGTTTGTTGCAAGTCCTTCCCTCATTCTCCATCACAGTCAGATTTCCAGTGCTGAGCTCCACAGATTACCCTGCAAGATCCTCATGGTTCAAGATCGGTGTGGGACATTCCACAGTGTGACCCACATTCTGGAGGAGGTTGGCTGTCCCTTCTGGGTTATCTGGAGGAACCAGAGGCTCACCTCTACTTGTGGTGCTGTGCTAGCCTGAGGGAGGGACAGTGTGGTCAGTGTGTAGCCCCTTCTCTTACCCTTTTAATGCAGTCTGTCCCGGTCTCTCGGGTGTACAGGGATGCTTCAGTTCCAGCCCCACATTCTGTGATTCCCTAAGTGGTGTCCTGTTCTTGAGTAGATGTTAGTTGTTCTTTATTTTTGATGGGGCACAGCATCAGGATTAACCTATGCCACTGTCTTGGTGATGTCACCCCCTTTATTCACTTCTTTCCCTCACCTCTTAGAATTATGCCTCATGTGCATAAGGCTTCCATTGAATATTTATTAAATAAATGAGTGAAAGGATATTTAAAAATACTTGGGCCATGGTAGTACTGATAAGAAGACTTCATGAATTTCGTAGGTGTTTATTATGTGTCCACTGTGTTCCAGAGGCATAGCACTTGCTCCTGCGAATGCTTAATCTTAGTTGGGCGGAGAGACAGACATCAACCAATTATGTAATTACAAACAGTTGTAAGTACTATGAGGGAACAATCTAGGGAGAAGTGTGTCTGTCTAACAAAATTTTTAACCTAATATGAAAGTTCATAAACCTTTGAGGATGCTGCATTTGGGTTAATATCTGAATGATTTGAGTTAATTGTGCAAAATCAGGCACTAAGATGTGCAAAAGCACCATGACGGTGGCAGCCAGGCTCTTGTGGGTAAATGGAGGACAGTGTGGATGAACTCTGGGGAGTACCTGGGATGGTGGGAGAGATGTGACTGAGATACTGACCTCAGAACTTGTACAGCGTTGAGTTATGCTCTGTGTTGATTGTTGACATCAGAAAACAAATTGAATTTAGAGGGAATAGTGTGAGCAAAGGGAGAAGACAAAAAAGAGTCAGTGACACAGTGCCCCTGTCCTGGGATATTACTGCCCTATCCTGAAATACCAGCCTTTCCTAAATCTCTCCTCACACTTTTACTGTAAAGATGTGAAATGTTACATGCACACAAGTGAGGTATCTAGGAAATAGTTGTCAACAGTGACAGGACATACAGGTTGTTAAGAAAATAAAAAGCTGTCTGTCCAGCTGGAGCAAACTGAATTGAAAACCATGTATGAAGTGTGAATAATAGAGAATCGAGAATTTAAATACATGAATAATTAAGTAAAAATATTTATTGAATGCCTGCTTTGCATAAAAGAAATAGAAAGTCTAGTCCTACTTTCAAAAAATCAGCTGAGAATTAAAATTTATGTATGTGAAAAGTATCAAAGCAAATATATGGCTGACACATATTTTAAAAGAGAAGTGATGAGCAAGGTCTGGGCTTGGTTAAAGATATAGGGTTCTATAGGGGATTAGATTTTAATTAAATTTTGAAAACAGAAGTAGATGTATATTAATAAGTAAATGGAGAGAATGGGAAAGATGTTAATAACAAAGGCACAAAGTCTAAGTCATAAAGTAAGAATTAATAAAATTTGTGAAGTTAACATACAAACTGGTTTTATGAAAAGACTGAATTCAAGAGTATAAAAACTAAGTCTGTAATTGAAAGCTACCTTGACAAAATCATTTTAGTGAAGTAGATATTGGACTCTGTCTTAAAAAGGGAAAAATAATTCAACATCTAGTTAATATTCTAGAGAAACTGCCTAATCATTCATGTACAAGTATTTGGATGATTTTTAAGTGTAATATAAGTTGATACCTCTTAAAAATATTGCCTTAAATGATACTTTTTTCTATTTTTGAAGCATCTTACTTGTTTTATTGACTTGTTTCCTAACATTCTACATTTTCATTTTCAAATAATATTAAGGATGAGTAATATTTTTATCAAATTTATTTATTTACTTGTTTATTTATTTGGCTGATTAATTGAGGGAGAGGGAGAACCCAGGGGGAGGGGCAGAGGGAGAGGAACAAGAAGATTCTGTGCTGAGCACAGAGCCCAACATGGATCTTGATCCTGTGACTCTGAGATCACAACCTGAGCTGAAATCAAGAGTCGAATGCCTAACCAACTGAGCCACCCAGGCACTCCAGTAATAATTTTTGATAAAACATATTCAAAGACTCTGTCAAAGGCTTTGAAAATAGCAAAATACTGCTTTTCTTTCAGGTGAATTGATTACAAACTTGTTATTCACTAATAAAATGGATATTATTTTGCAGAGTATCAATTTCCCATCTCATATAATGGTAATATATTTTCTTGTGTTCTAGGATTTCACTTTGTGTTAGAATTAGAATTTTAATTTTAATTCACAAAGTGAAGTCCTAGAACATGTAGTAACCCATTGATTTTACTTAAAATATTATTTTTATATTGTTACTAACATATTTCCACTTATTTTTTCTAAGATTTATTTGCTCATTTTAGAGAGGGAGAGCATGAGTGGGGCCTAGGGGGAGAGAGAGGGAATCCTCAAGCAGACTCCCCTCTGAGTGCAGAGCCTTGCACAGGACTCGATCTCACAATCCTGAGATTATGACTTGAGCTGAAATCAAGTCGGACACTCAACCAGCTGAGCCACCCAGACACTCCACTTCTACTTCTTTTTCATATAAATCACAAGATACTAAGGCTTACCATCTTATTAAGGCTCAGAAGTTAAGTAATGCTTTAGGTTTAAAGTAAAATGTCAAGGGGCACCTGGGTGGCTCAGTTGGTTAAGCAGCTGCCTTAGGCTCAGGTCATGATCCTGGAGACCCTGGATCAAGTCCCACATCGGGCTCCGTGCTCGGCTGGGAGTCTGCTTCTCCCTCTGACCCCTCCCTTCTCATTCTCTCTCTATCTCTCTCTCAAATATATAAATAAAATCTTAAAAAAAGAATTGTACTTGCATCTATAAAAATATTGTGTGACTTCTTTTTTAAATGTTTTTAACTAACATGTTACTATACATGTAGTAGATAGTTCTTGTGTGTTCAATCACTTATCATGCATCTACTTAAAATGTGGAATAATTACTCTGAGAGGGCATAAATGAATGTGAAATAATTATTCTGGGAATGCATAAAAAATGCATGATCCAAACCAAACTGTTCATAGGCTACTTGCAAGAAGAATGTGTGAGGGCTATATTATAACATTATCAGTGTCAAAACAGAGTTTGTACAAAATACTCTAGAATTGTGAGGAAGACATGACCAAGTCTGCCTGGTGAAGTCAGGGAGACTTCTTCAAATAGGTGCATTTGAACTGCATTAAATTCTGTATCAGAATTTATCTGAACGGAAATGGAAGAAAGGACATTTCAGATAGAGAGCTACTTTATGCAGAGGCTCAGAGATATTCATCATCAGTCATGTGATATGGTGCTATTACTGGCTTGGGGATTTGAGGGGGATTTGAGAGGGATAGAGGCTGACCACCAGTCCAGGTGCTAGATCAAGACGGGCCTCAGTTGCCCTGCTGTAGAGCTAGAGTTTGGTTCACTGAAAAACAGAGAGTGACAAGAAAGATAAGTTAGGACCCTGTGCAGTAGGCTAGGTGGGAGATGATGCATACAGGGTAAAAGAAGTTTGACGAGATGTTAGAGGCTTCTAAGAGGTCAGTTCTGTACAGTTCTAGTAAATGATTAGATGGGGAGGTGGGTGAAGAGGAAGGGGAATAAAGGATGATTCTCAGGTCTGTCTTGGCTGAGTATTTAAGGGAACTCTGGGGCTGGAGCAGCTTTTTGGAGGAGATAAAGAATTCAGTGCTAGTTATGGTTAATGCGAAGTAACTGGGGGAGGTAACAGGGTAAGATATCCAGAGGATAGATGGATATCAGGTCTAGCTTCCATTTGGAAGCCATCACTTGGAACAGATAGGATATTAGGTGAGCCTCAGAAAATGAAGTGTCTAGTACAGGGGAGAAGAGAAGACATTCTGGCCTGACTGGTGACCTGTTCTTAGAATAATGAGGAGACAGATATTATTAAATTCAGGGTGTGCTGGAGTAGTGTGTAATAAGGATGGATCATGGAACTGTAGGGTGAAACCAAATTATGGGGGGAAGCAGTAGAATAATTAAGAGCTGATGTGCCTTTTAATTGAAAGGTCTTTTAGAAAAGGGGAATGACATCACATGATGAAAAAGCTGTTTTAAGTACCACTAATCAGGTAGAGGTTGAATGGGGAGACATTATTATAGTCAAACCCACGTGAGTACTGGTTCCTGTGGTTAGAAGAGATAGGAGGGAGGAACATAATAGCCATGATATAGGAGACTAAAAATGAGTGAAATGGAAATTTATGTTCGGATGATTAATAGTTGTATTAGTGATTTGCTTACACTTAACAAATGTTTTTTGCTGTTACCATGTTGCTTCTTATCTTTTTTCTGCTTAGCTGTGTTTTCCAAGAAATTATTCCTCTGTGATCCCTGTTTCAGTCCATTTGGTCTTTTCCTTCTGTTCTGCTTGACTCTCATCTTTTTCTCTTTGTTTTTGCTGACCTGCTGAGTAGGCAGACAGCTCTGAAGGCAAGTTGTGTTGCTTCATGAGTGGAGGGGAGAAAAACATGTTCTGCAGTTACGATCTGCTTTCTTGGCAGGCAGAGAGAAGCAGGCTTTAAATTGTAGTGAAAACAACCACCTTAACTTCAAGGTAGCCTTTCTGATGTTACTGTGACTTTAAAACCAAAGACAGCAAAAAAGCAATAACGAACAGAAAAGAAACCTAAGTAAAAGCAAGGGAACTGTAGATTGCATTTATCTCTTTCTCTCACCGATAAAGAACGATCTGTACGCTTTGACTGACATGCATTCTGGCCATCAAAGTTACTTACTGATGTGTTTGTATGTTTTCTTGTCTGTCTTGTAAATGGGAAAATATTGAAGGACTATGAATGAGATGGTGATTGCCAAGCACTTACCTTCGCTTGTAGACACAGCAGATTTCAAGTTGGGTCTGTCAGGGTGTTTGTCTTTACATTTAGCAACTGTGGTGCTGTCTTGGACTGACACCATTCTATTTATTCTCGTAATTATTTTATAGATTTAAAAAAATCTAAAAAACTATTAAAAGTAATCCTCCATGGAGGAGTTCTTGACAGGTTAAACCCATGTCTTCTTAGGAACTGTCTTTGCCCTATGTTTGGTGGAATTAAGTACTCTCAAATTTTAATGTTGTAGTCTTAATACCCGATCCCTCAGAATATATGGTATTTGCAAATACAGTCTTTAAAGGGGTGATTAATTTAAAATAAAGCCACAAAGGTGGGGCCATACTCCACTATGACTGGTGTCTTACAAGAAGCAGAAGAGACAGCAGGGTTACAAACATAGAGGAAGGGCCATCTGAGGACACAGGGAGAGGCAGCCATTGGCAAACAAAGAAGAGGGGCCTCAGAAAAAGCCAGATCTGTCCACACCTGGCACTTGGACCTCTAGCTTCCAGAACTGTAAGAAATACTTTACTATTACTTAAGCCACCCAGTCTATTGTATTTTGTTATGGCAGTTGTAACAAATTAATACACCATACTTTCTAGTTACTAAGTTTGTATTTTCCCTGAGTGAATTTTTGGTAGCATATAACTTATCTCTGCTGTAGTTGAAAGTACGAGGCGTCCTGATGAATCAGTGAATCTCTTACTCTAACTTGCTTTTATACTTGTAATATTATACCAAGGCTAAGTGCTTTCTGTTCTCATTTTCTTGTTAGTGTGATATGTTTCACTTAGTTGCATTTTTCATTTTTCTAGACATTTTGAGTACATTTGCTAAAGCTGAAATGAGAATCTCAATAAATTAATAAATAATGATTTAGTGACATCTGCTGTGCGCTTGAACTTTTATTATTGGTCTTCAAGAATGAAATTTTGCGGTGTAGAGTAATACATCAGGGAATTTTATAGATCTTATTAAATACAATTTTTAAAAATCTATATCAGAAAGCAGGTTCTCTGATCACCGTGAAGATAATATAGTGATGTAGTCAAGAGTCTGTGACCTGGAGTTAGCACACTGTGGTTGAAATCCTGGCTCAGCCTCTTGGAAGCTGGGTAGCATTGAGCAAGATAATTAATTAAATTAAAGTCTCATTTGTTCATCCATAGGATAGTGATAGCAGTAGTAGTGCCCAAATTACAGGACTCTGATTAATGCTGAGTAAGCTAGTTAATAAAGCAAGCACCTGGTTCATGGTAAATACTCCCGACATCTGTGCCATTAATAATAATAATAATAATAATAATAATATAACAATTATTATTATTATTTTCTGAATCTTACTGCTTACTAATCTGAAAAATCACTTTGCATTAATACTGTTCATATTAGAACCTTGTTTAGATACTCATTTTAATTAGGGTTTCTCACCCTTGGCTCTATTGACATTTCGGGCTGGAAAATTTTATTTATTTATTTATTTATTTATTTATATCTTATTTATTTATTTTTGACACAGAGAGAGGGAGAGAGCATGAGCGGGGGGACTGCCGAGCAGGAAGCCCGATGTGGGGCTCCATCCCAGAACCCTGGGGTCATGACCTGAGCAGAAGGTAGCCGTTTAACCTACCGAGCCACCCAGATGCCCCAAGGGCCAGATAATTCTTTGTTGTATGAACTGTCCTGTGCATGCAATATGTTTAGTAACATGGGGGAAATCGGAGGGGGAGATGAGCCATGAGAGACAGTGGACTCTAAGAAACAAGCTGAGGGTTTTGGACGGGAGGAGAGTGGGAGGTTTGGGTGAGCCTGGTGATGGGTATTAAGGAGGGCACATATTGCATGGAGCACTGTGTGTGGTGCACAAACAGTGAATCTTGGAACACTGAAAAAAAATAAAATTAAAAATGTAATTAAAACAGATCACCTGAAATATAATACATAATTTATTATGGCATAAGGCAAAAACATCTTGGTATATCTTTTTTTCTAAAATAATGTGTAGAATGGAAAAATATACTTGCCTTAAAAAATTGATCACATACATTTTCATGAAGATTTGCATTTGGATGAAACAAGTTACACCTACATTTGATCAGAACTAACTCAAATATCATCAGCAATGGAAGCAATTACTGCCTGATATTTTTCGTGTACTATAGAGCACTTTGACTAACGTAGCTTTGGGGACAGGAGAGAGAAATTTAACTATTCATCAAAGAGTGCTGCTATATTTCATTGTTAAATGTGTAGAAAGATGAAGTGTGGGGGGGAATTTTAAAAGTACCATAGAGGCACTATTTTGCTAGAGAAATAAAATACATGGCAGTCAAATGTATACCATCCTTCTAAATTACAGTATAAGTGGAAATTATTGTGGCTCAAAAACCCAATAGAAAGTTAAAAAAAAAAAAAGTTCAGTGTATATGTGGGTATTCCAAAGTATAATGATAGATCAGATCTTGTGCTGGCATCTGTTTAGGATCAGTCAAAATGATTAGCACCTGTTAGTTACGGTCTATTATTCCTTTGCTGCTTAAAAATTGGGGTGTATTGGGGCGCCTGGGTGGCTCAGTGGGTTAAAGCCTCTGCCTTCGGTTCAGGTCATGATCCCAGGGTCCTGGGATCGAGCCCCGCATCGGGCTCTCTGCTCAGCGGGGAGCCTGCTTCCACCTCTCTCTCTCTGCCTGCCTCTCAGCCTACTTGTGATCTCTGTTTGTCAAATAAATAAATAAAATCTTTAAAAAAAATTGGGGTGTATCATTACTGATATACTAGTCTGTAAAATAGGCGTGTGTGTGTGTGTGTGTGTGTATCAAATTATACCACAGTGTAAAAGTCAAGAGCTATAGTACCAAATGGATCCAGAATTCAAGTTTTACCAAATATAGGGAGAGAAGATTATCTTCCTTTTTTTTTTAAAGTTTATTTATTTGTTTGTTTATTTATTTGAGAGAGAGACAGAGTGAGAGATAGCATGAGAGGGGAGAAGGTCAGAGGGAGAAGTTGACTCCCCATGGAACTGGGAGCCCGATGCTGGACTCAATCCCAGGACTCCAGGATCATGACCGGAGCTGAAGGCAGTCGCCTAACCAACTGAGCCACCCAGGCACCCAATGATTATTTTTCTTATGAAAAAAATTACAATTTTAGTAACTTTTAGAGCCTAATGGAGTTTTTCAAATGTTTACTAGTTATGGTAGCAGGTTTTTGTGTGAAGAAATTACATAATCTTTTATGGGCAAGGTGACAAGCCAGAAAAGAATGGCTTACTTCTTTATTGGTTAATGTGTAAGAAAAAGTTTTCCTTTGTTGCCACTTTGCGGATGGTATCCCAGAGTTTTTTCATAGGATATTTTAAACTACCTCTTTTGTTTGCTTTTTGTTGGATACCATTTCTCTTTGAACAATACCTGTAAGCCTTTCTAAAATAATAATATAATTCTATGTAAATATGTACTTTCCTTCCTCAGTTAAGTGTTTATTATCGACTTGGGTAATTTTCTGTCAACATGTTATTTTAAATATGCTACCTAAAAATTAATGCAAAATTTTTGTCAACCCCAATCTCTTTTTCCTTTAATTCTTTTTGTCTTACAGAATCAAAATTGAAATCAAGAGTAGAAAGAGAAATAAGGGTTTTTAGATGTGATAATAATTAACAGTTGCATAATTTTACTATAATGATTTTTTAAAAATTAAAATAGTAGGGTGATACAGATGTCGTGGGGAAAAGTGAGCCTTTGGGTGGACAAGGGCTTGGTAGGTGGAGCAGTGAGTGGCAGAAGTGGTACTAATCCTAGTTCCTTTGGCTCCAGGGCCAGTGCTCTGTGCTTAGTCAGTGTCTGCTGGATCAACTTTTCTCACATCTGTTGCTGAGGAAATGAATAGGTGACTATTGCAATGTGCAGTTCCCTTGATGGAGTCTTTCAAAGACTGATGAAGACAACCAAAAGGTTTTGGAGAATGATGAAACTCTGCTCCCCATTTTTTTTTTTTTAGAAAGCCTTGAGGATCTCTCCTCTGATGCTGAAAAATACTGCAGCCAACTTAGGAGGGCAATAGTATGGAAATATGAATCTACATTTTAATAGCAAAGTATAAGATATGTTGAGGTGCTCAAAGAGGGAGTATGTGAATAGATTGCTGCTTCCTTTTTGAAGCTACATAATATCATAATATGATATTCATAATATCATAATGTGTATATATAGATACACATATATACATACATACATATGTGTGTATATATACACACATGCACATAAACACATAAGTATAGATAAACTACACATGCATATGACATGTATGATATGATAATCATATATGTGACAAATATAGTTTATATATAGATACATAGTTTATATACTGCATATATAGTAGAGAGGAAAGTTAATTATGTTAAAATAGTGAAATATTCTAATACTTAATATTTTTGTTATTGTTTTTTCCTACAAACTCATCATCTTTAAAATAATTAATATTACTTTCAGAAATACTGTCTTTATATTGCACTGTACTAGAAAGTAACAATATATTGTAGAAAAAATTAAAAGAAATCACATGTAACTTGTTTCAGTAACCAAAGCTGAGTATTTTATGTCTGTTTTCTGCCACAGACACAATATTTGACCCCTGATCCAAGGACATAGGGTATTATAAACTCCGGAATAGAATATCCTCACGGAAACTTGGGGAGCATTGTGTCAGACTGAGGAGTGATGCTCAGATAAGAGCCAACAGTAGTTCTAACTCTCAGTAACAATATCTCTTCTATCATCTCATGAATCAGACATTGTCTGAGTGGAAATCAGAAGATAATGCCAAGGAGACATCAAATGTGCAGAATGTTCTATCCTGTAGGGTAAAACTTGTTAAATTTCACCCTGGTTTAAATCTCAATTACTGAAAGAAGCAAATGGTGAAAAATTACCTCATTCCTTCTGGAAGCTGAAGCTTTTAAACAATTAATTAAAAATAAGGGTTCAAATCAAGTCAGAGATTCTATTTCATTAAGCTTTTTCCGTTTAAACAATATACATACTCATTAATACAGGTATCATTGGATGGATGGATGTCATTAGGTGTATAGATACAAGAATTTTTCCTTTCTAGATCAACGTATCATAAATTCTACTCCAACATAAGAATTCTGTGCTGCTTATATGTAGACCATGTAATTCTTATTCAATGTACTGAATCTTACTCAGTAAGCATCTTATTCAGTATATTGTCCTAATCTATGTTTAAACTTCCAAAGACCTATTTAGAAATTATTTTCATTTATAAAACACTATGTATTTTTCAGTATTCATGCTTTTTAGCAAAATCAAAGTTAGGATGTAAAAGAAAGTTGTTTGAATATTGTTTTTAACCTGTTCTCATGTTTATTCTAATACCTGGCTGCTTAAAAATCTTCATTAATAATTAATTATATAATTATTTATTAATATTATATAATATTAATATATAATCATATTACAATTATATAATATATAATTATATATTAATATATAATTATAGATAATTAAATAAATAATGATTAATTAATAATACTTAAATGAAGCCCAAATAAAAGCCAGATTCCTAAGCCTCAAGACTTTAAGGTCCATAAGGGCAGACAACTTGCATGTCTTCTCTGTGGCTGATACGGTCAGTACTTGCTGTTTTGCTTGTCTTTGAGGAGGCACACAGGAAATATCTGTAAAAGGATAAATACTGCAACAAAACTCTGAATTATCTGAGCTCAGTCTGCTTTACCGAGGTTATCTCCATAATTGATCTTCACATATTCTGTGTTTTAACGAATGAGCTATTTTTTTCCCTGTTCCCTACATATGCCCCCACTTTCTTCATGTATTTTATGTGCTGCTTCTCCTTAAAATGGCTTGCCCTCATATTGGCAGGCTCCATTTTTCCTATCATTCTAAAAACCAGCAGTTCACGTGTACTCTGCTCCTAGGGTTTTTCTAATCTTTTCATTTAGAATTTTTTTTTTTTTTTGGTTTTCTAAAAATTCCCTTAGCACTTTATTTGCATTTCTTTTACTAAATTTCTTTCTTTTTCCTCTTGAAACATGGTTACTGAATATATCTTTTTCTCCCTTCTTGTGGAGAGTGAGTGTAAGAGCTACAGAGGGTCCTAATGCCTCTTTCTTTTAAAGCATCCAGCACAGAACCTTTGATGTGCTGCTGTTGTTCATTAAATGGCTGTTGAGTGAATGGACACATGGCTTCTTTGTTCACACTTAACTACAGGATTGATTCTTTTGGTTATCACTTTTCCCCATAGGTATCTTCAAAATTCCCCACAGCTGTTGTGACTGGGTAGGAATCCAACAGAACTTGGCTCCTAAAGATACCTGAAGAATAACTTTTGGTTCCAGGTATATAACTAGATCGAATTTGAGTTAGGAGAAAAAAATCTTAACTTCTGTGACTGGCTTCTCTAAAAAGTGGTTGAATACATTTGCCTCAGAACTGATGATTCAAAAAAATCCCAGTATCATATGCAAAAGCATGTAATATGGTACATGGAATAGTAGGTGCTCAATAATTACTCCTGTTTTCCATTTCCTAGTATTATGCCCTTTCACTTTCCTCTTTTCTTTCCTTTTCCTTCTTGTCTTCCCTTTCAAAAATGGTAATTTTCTTAAATAAATCTTAATTCCTTTTAAACTTTCAAGCCCTTTTGAAACTTCTATGATCTGAATTTCATATCAGTTTACCCTTTTCCTTTTAGGGTGGTTGATTTCCCATATGCAAAAACTGGAAGAAAAAATCCGTTTGTTTTGAAAAGCAGAAGACTAACAATAGTGCCTTAAGCTCCTAGGAGGAAATGTATAAATAAAAACTTAAATATAAATAAAAATAATGAATAAAAAATATTATTGTTGGCAGTATCTAGATATGCTGCTAGCAATTATTTCTTACATCCTTTTCAGAATGAAGTGCATAGAGAGGCCAGGTATGGACACACATACATGGTTAATTGATTTTCAAAAAAGATGCAAAAGCAATTCATGGAGAAAGGATAGCCTTTTTAAAAAATGGTTTTAGAACAATTGGATATCCATATGCAGAATAAATGAGGATTGATACATACTTTGCACTGTAGACAAAAATTAACTACAAAATGGTTCACAGATCATCTGTCTATAAAATTTAAAACCCTGAGACTTAGAGAAGAAAACATAGTGGAAATTTTTGTAACCTTGAATTAAGCAGGGGTTTCCTAAATACAACTCCAAAGCACTAAAAATACTGATAAATTGACTTTTATCAAAATAAAAAAAACCCATCTGCTCTTCAAAAGACATTGTTAAGAATGAAAATACAATCAGCCGACTTGTGGAAAGAAATTGAGAGAAAATAATTCCAAATCATATACCTGATGAGGTTCTTTTATTCAGATTACATAAAGATATCTTTATAATAATAAAAAAAAAAACCCAACAACCCAATTATAAAAAGGACAAACTATTTGAACAGATATTCAGCAAGGAAGATATACAGCACATAAGCATATTAAAACATGCTTGACATCTTTGGCCATTAAGGGAATGCAAATTAAAACCATAATGTGACACCACTATATTCCTGCTAAAATGGTTAAGAACTGGGGCACCTGGGTGGCTCAGTAGGTCAAGTATCTGCCTCTTGATCTTAGCTCAGGTTTTATTTTTTATTTATTTATTTATTTTTTTAAAGATTTTTATTTATTTATTTGACAGACAAAGATCACAAGCAGGCAGAGAGGCAGGCAGAGAGAGAGAGGTGGAAGCAGGCTCCAGGCTGAGCAGAGAGCCGGATGTGGGGCTCGATCCCAGGACTGTGGGATCATGACCTGAGCCGAAGGCAGAGGTTTTAACCCACTGAGCCACCCAGGCGCCCCGATCTATAATCTCAGGATTGTGAGTTTAAGCCTTACAATGGGCTTCACACTGGGCATGGAGCCTACTTAAATTAAAAGAAAACTTAAAAAAATGGTTAACAACAACAAAATGATGGTACCATAGAGAGCAACTCGATCCATCCATTGTTAGTGGGATGCAAAATAGTATAGTCACTTAGGAAAATTGTTTGGCTGTTTATTTTAAGGTGAACTTATACTTACTACATGACCCAACAAATACACACTGGGTATTTACCCAAGGAAAGTAAAAGCTTACGTTTACCTAAATACATGCATGCAAATGTTTATAGCAGCTCTGTTCACTGCAAACAGCAGTCACTGCAAACAAGTGTCTTTCATCTGGTGATTGGATACCAAATTGGGGCATCCATATAATGCAATACTTCTCAGCAGCTGAAATGAACTAACTATGGATAAGGGCAGTGACATGGATAAATCTCAGATTCATTATGCTAAGTGAGAAAAACTAGACTCAGAGGGCTATAAGCTGTATGTTTCTTTTTATATGACATTCTGGAGAAAGCATAATTACATAGACAGAAAACAGATCAGTGGTTGCCAAGGGAAGGGAATAGAGGGTAGATTTTCCACAAAAGGCCACAAGGAAAATCTTACCGGATGATGGAACTAATTTTATGTCTTG